AAAAATTCTTCAAGCCAAGAAGAAACGTACGTTTTTCTTTTTATTTTCGTTTCAATGGGGTGGGGAGCGGGGGGGGGCGACCTGTACTGACGCAATTTACCAATATCGTTAAAGAAATACAGAAAGTAACAAAAAAAAAAAAAGATCTGAGAATACAACACTTCGCGAAGTATAATAATCCACTATTGTTTCTTCCAATCTTTGTTTCTTTTGTTTTCTTTTTCTTACGTTTATCTTAAAAAACCACCCCACCAAATGTATTTATCGATTTGGATACTTTGAGAAAGAGTATAGGAAGAAGGGTGAAATGGAATAATTTCTTTTTGTCGAAGATGGAAAAGAAAAAGTAATTAAAGTATCTTACTTAGTTTTATTCTTGATTATAAATGAACAAGTTTTTTATCGTAAAGATATTTGTAATGATCTGTGACAGTTATTTATTTTGATAATTAAACGTGTAGATTGTAAAACGGTTAGAATTGTGACGAATTTTGTTTTCAAATTTTCGACGAAGAGAAAGAGAGAGAGAGAGAGAGACATAGAAATAGATAACTGAATGGAATTTTTTATTTCAATGGAATCCGCTATTATTGCAAGCTGGTTTATTTATATAATATCATAAAAAACATATAAATGTAATATAATATAAAATAGGATAATAATATATATAATCTTTTAAATAAATATTATATAAAAAAAAGAAACTAAAAATAAAAAAACACACACACATATATAGATATATATGTGGGAAGGGGAAATTAGACAAAGGGACTACGAAATAAAACACTGTATAGTTGGTAGGACGTTGGGATGTAGCAGCGTGCAGCGGTACATTGCTATGCGAGTAAACAGTTGATAAAGAACAAAGATCTAAGAATTAGTCATCGTTTAGCCTTCAAGCAGCGAACATCGATTATTGTATTGAATTGTATCAGATTAAATTGCATTTACATTGAAACGGTCTATTCATCTTTACGAACAATTTATTATTAACACCAGTATTCCTACTCTTCAATATTCAGATATTCGTAGAAGACTGATGAGAAAAGAAAGGAATCCTACATATATATATATATAAAATAAAATAATACGAATTAATATATAATAATAAAAATTATATAAAATAAAATATAAGAAGAAAAGAAAGACAGACAGATAGACAGAGAGAAAGGGTTCTGAGTGTGTTAGTAAAGAACTTAATTAAGAAGAAAAGACGATTATGAAGGAGTAAAACTTGTGGATGGGGATTGGGGATAAGGGGGAAGAGGTAAAAGATGATAGATGAGGGGAAAAAGGTGAAACAAGAAGAGAAAAGGGTAAGTAGTCGAAAGAGAAATGTAGTGAGGGTAAGTCAAGCCTCCTATTTTCTTTTCTTTACTTTTCTTTTCTTTTGTTTATACTACCGGAACGCGTGCGCGCGCTCAACCAACCAACCAACCAACCGAACAACCAACCAACCAACCAACCAACCATCCAACCAACCTCCTTCGAAGTATAAAAAAAAGTTTCCACGCGGGATTAATGGTAACGACGATAATGAAGCCGAGTGTCAGAGACAAGCGGTAAATCTTTACCTGGACAATGATCACGACGAGAAATGAGAAAGAAGAAAGAGGATGCTGCTCGTTCACAGTTTAAAAAAGTTTTTTCAACCCTCCCTACCTCCCTTCCTCCTTCTCCCCCCCCCCTTTCCCACCTTCAACCGAACTGTCTTTTATCTGCCTTCTTTTTTTCTTTTTTTTTCTTTTTTATTCTCTTTCTCTCTCTCTCTCTCTCTCTCTTACAATTCTCGTGTCTTGCAAATTTTCATCGTGTTCGGTTTAAAGTAAAAAAAAAAAAAATAACGTCATTCGTAATAGATTTTTTTGTTGTCGGACGATAAAATCAACGAGCAAATGTTATATTATTTGGAATTATGAAATTAACGCGGGAAAATTGGGGGTCTGGGGGGGAAGTGGGG